ATATTAAGCAAAACAGTTGTCACACATATGAAGATGTTGGCCCTAAATAATATTTGACAGTAGAGAATTTATTCATACAAAAAGAGAATAATAAAAACAAACATACAACTCAAAAACCATGAAGAACTAAAAATGAACAGATTGAATGATCTGCTGACCAGTTACCATTTGAAGTGCAACTGTTCTAGAAACTGAAAGTCAAAGGAGAAAAATCCTCACCTGTGTAGTTTTGGTTGGAGGGGGGGAGTTGCAGACCTTTAAAGAAAAAAATGATTAATGGACGCCAACACAAGCCTCATAATGAAAATGCAGTGGAAAAGTGATTACCTGAGCATTTTCATTCTCAGAAACTTGTTTGTTTAGATAATTATAAATTTTGCAAGGCAAGTAAGAATACAAAAAAAAAGAAAACTTATTATAAAATTGCCAAATGTCAGAATATTTTGTTGACCTACCTTTTTAATAATCTTGTTTTAAGCACCAATCTCTTGAGACAATTTACATCTACTAAGTTTTTACTTGATTTTCAATTAATTATATTATTTTATGATCAAAATCTCGATACTTTTTCCAAATGAGACATTTTGACTCTTATTAGTAAGACAAATATTAAAAATATCAAAAAGAAAAAACAAATTAGATCAGATACAAAGAGACCAGGTCAACTGTTGAATTGTAATATAAGATGTTCTGCTTGGTAAATTGTTTTGACAAATGATTGGTATTCCAATGGTTCAGACCTTTCATTATGGTGTTATATGCCTTGTAAAGGTCTTTGTGCCTATTTCATAACAAATAGTAAATGAGAAAGAAAGACAACACCAATGATAAAAAAGAAACAGACACCATTTTATTAGTGTTAATTTCATTAAATGATGCGTAGATTATACAATGACCATACACATATATAGATATATATACACATCTGAGTACACCACCACACGCACACAAACACAATTGTCACATGTGCAATGTTGAAGGAATCCTGAAAGATCCCACACTCGAAGCGAGATGGAGTTGCATGGAGGATGATAGAATGATGTTTTAGGCAGGAAAAAAAAAAATATTAATAATTAAAAAGCATGCAAGAAAAAAAAAAAAAAAAAAACGAAGCAAAAATTGAAGAGAAAAACAGGGTTTTCTATTTTAGGGGATTTTTTTCCTTTCACTTATATTCTGATGTCATATCGGCTGTGAACTGATCAGAATTTCTGTTGGTAGACAATCTTAACTACTATTACTCATGAACTATAAATGACATTTTTGGCAGATTAACATCTAACACGGATGAGAGAGTGCAAAGAATTATCTTCACAAATGAAGATTTGTTGAAATGTGTTAATTTTGGCACAAGGTCATGTATAAAGAAATAACTCACAAGCAATGGCTTGTAAGACTAACATATTTTACTGTTCTATGAACGATGACACTTATTGAACAAGAATGTTCTTTTGGTGTCTCCTTTGAAATCTAAAATTGAATAGAAGAACACTTTCACGTTTTCTAGCTCTGTAATGTTATTTTTTGAGTAATTGGTTTAATCTACATTGATTATATGCTAGAAGATCAAGTTTTACCAAAAGCAATTGACATTACTTTCTATGACAAGTTCCTGACAGTAGTTTGAAGAAATAAATATGTGGCAAAAAAAATAAATAAAATGAAAACAAAATATAAAGAATTGACATTAGTTAAATTTCTAAAGCAAATCCTTCAAAAAAATGTGAATGCTAATAAAATATACCAAACAAATGTAACAGAAACAAGTTAAAATTTGCCAAAAGTTAGTCTTTTTAACAAAATGCAATAATTCATGAAAGATCTTTAATTTACATTTTTTTTCCAACACTTATTCAATTAAAAAAAAAGTGGTAGATTCTCACCACTTCTTTTATATGCAGTGTCCCTTCAGGATGTGGGCGATCATAGCTCTTCACAACTTCCTATCCTTTGTGGCTCTAAGAAATGTTTATCCCCTTTCCATCCCTCACAGTTCCTGTTCTGCCATTCATTTACAGAAGCTTGTTTTCTAAGTTACTCTACTTTCCCTCTTGCCTTCAAAATGTCCTGTTAGTGTCAAATTCTCTAAGCCTTCTTTTCTCATTATGTGTCAGAAAAATTTCAATAGTCTTTTACCGATTCTAAGTGTCCTTTTCATTTCCATTTTCCTTAAAACTTAGTTGTTACTCACATTTTCTATCCAGGGTATTCTCAGCATCTTTCAGTAGAACAACATTGCCTCGTCTCCTCTTCATCTGTTTGGAAATTTCCCATTATTCACCTAAGTATACTAAAATAGCAATCCATCCTATATCTAGCAGGCACAATATGACATAATGATCATATAAGTACTGATGGATGCAGAGAATGGTAGCCAGTTTTATGTGTCATGAAAAATGAACCCCTGTTCAGTTTTCTTTTGACACGAAGGTTGGAAGATTATTTTCTTTGCAAATATTTCAATGACTGCTGGGAAGTGCATATCATCTTGCATTTGACGGTTGCATAATTTTTATTACACTGTGTGTGCACCATTAATTTGATAAAAAAAAAAAAAGAGAGGCCATTCTTAAAATCATTGAAACAAGCATTGTATGAGAGAAAAAAATTCTCCAAAATGATTACATTTTTCTTGTTCACTGTCTCATGCTAGACAGTTATCTTACATGTATACAAGTCTACCATTCATCTATGCTTTGAATATTGGTTCCACATCTTGTTTTGTGTTCCTGCTTACATTTTATTTATTTATTTTTTTTTTTACAGTAGGTTTCAACCTGTAGAAGGCCTGGGAGTCATTCAAGGTAGAGGGTTACATTACAGATTATAATGATAGGAGGGGAAGATAAAAGTTAACCCTAAACTTGAACAGGTTGAGATTGTAATGATTAAGAAAACATCCTCTTTGGAGTTGGTTCTGCAGAGTAGTGGTTCGTGGGAATTTACTTTTCACCAATGGAATATGGAGGAAATGTGCGTGGTTTGCTGCAACATGTGGCATAGTGGGTCCTAGCCAAGTAGGTTAGAACTAATGAAACCAAGAAATGTAATACATCTGAGCACATCCTATGGAATTAGTGATAGAGAAGTGAGAGGCATACCACATCCCACCTGTGGGAGAGAGGTTGAAGGGTGGGAAATAATTTCTCACCCACAAGGACTCAGAGACGTTTTTTTAGCTCTCTCAAGACTGAAAGTGAAGACTGTGTAGGTCCCACTCAAATATGACGGCAATACTCCATTTTAGGCCTGATTTTGGCTCTTGCAAAAGAGATTCTTGATAAAATCCAAAGAATCTGCAATGTTATTGGTCCTGATTTGATATCCCATCTTCTTCCACTTTTCCACTGCCATAATATAGCTTCTCTGTACCTTTTCTATTTACATACGCTCTATCCTTGATATTGAACACTTTAACCCATAAATATAGCATATCTTAAAACTATATTTTATCATACACATATACTGACAATTCTGTTTGACTGTCACCTCTGGATGTTGACTTCAATGTTCACATATATATATATATATATATATATATATGATATATAAATTTTCATATATTGAGAACAATTTTAAGGGAAAGAATTATGGCAAAATGGGAAAAGTTGTTGTTTGATGTATTTCATCCTTTAAAACTTCATTGGTTTATGTTTAAGTTGATGCGACTACACATGCATATGACCAAAGAAGAATTTTAAATTTAAAAATAATTTTTTTTTTTTTTAATATGTGCTTTGAGTATACTTGCAACTTGACTAGTGTCCAGTTTATTACACTGTTTCATCATCTGTGGCAGATCTATTATCATAATGTAGGATATTTAATAACAAAGTGATAGAAAATATAAAGAAATATAAAGAAAAAGAATGTAAATTAAATTGGCTAGATTATATAAACAAAATATATTAAAAAAATTACCTTTTAATTAAAAATTCTCAGTGTTTATGCACATATCAACGTAAACATAAATTAATTCAGTCTGAATGGACTAAATTGTGATATGAAAATTTTTCCAATTTGTCATACTTCTTTTGTCTTTATATATATATATATATATATATATATATATATATATATATATATATATATATATATATATAAATATATGAAAGAAAATTGAGATTAATAATTTAGAGTTCTTAGCATTTATTTTTTTTAATAAACAGTGCTTGATACAAGAGCAGAGCATAATATTATAATTGTATGTTTTAAATGTATTATCATCGCAACACAAAATTGCCATGTTTCAAAACTGAAATTTCAATTCAAATTCAATCATAAAAATTAAACTTAAAATAAATTTTAAGTTTAATTTTTATGATTGAATTCGAATTGAAGTTTCAGTTTTAAAACACAAGAATTTCGGTGTTGTGATGATAATATATTAAAAAAAAAATATATATATATATATATATATATATATATATATATATATATATACACACAGTGGTCAACACCGAGCAGCAATAATCTGTTTCAGGCTTGAATGTAAACTTCAAGCCTGAAGAGTCCATTCAAATATGAAAGATAGTCGCAACTTGCTGATGACCACAGTGTCCCCTTCTATATTTACATACACTCAATCTCTGATATTGACCACTGTTTTACATAAATATAGCATATCATATATATATATATATATATATATATATATATATATATATTATTCTGAACATTATAGTTGTTTGATGCTCTAAAATATGGAAATGTTAGTTGAAAAGGAAGGAAAGAAGAATTAATAAATCCTAAAGGCAAAATTAGTAAAGTTGGTGGAGACGACTTTTTTTGAAAGATAACATCAGGCCATGCAAAAAATTAGCAAAAAGAGATGTGTGGATCATGTTTAAAATGATCAGGGGCTTGGAGTGATGATTAAAAACCGTTTATGAACATAGAACTAGAAATATATATCAAATATAGATAAAAGATAAATGTAAAAAAAAAAAAAGAAAAAGAAAAGCTTGTGTGTGAAAGCGACTGCACTCACCAAATCTGGTCTATGAAAACAACCTGTGAAGAAAAGCAAGCAGATGCACAAATCAAAAAAGATATTAGCCAAAAAAAAAAAATAAAAGAATGGAACACAAAATAAGGTGGATAAAAGATGAACACAGCAAGGCAATTTGGTTTGGGTTGGAAGCACAGCTTCAAATGTCTGTCTCACCATTTTTGGTTCTTTTGAAAGAATTCTTTCTGCTATTTTAGCAAGAATTTTCAGGTATTTACATTCATTTCATCCTTTTTACATGCAAATTTGTCTAAATGGTCAATTTGATTTTGAATAGTATCTCTTAAGAAATGGAAATCTCCATGTGAATTTACAATTTAAACTATGTTAAAACCTAATATATTATTAAATTTCTTTAAGGAATGACAATTACATAATTAACTGTTGCTATCGGAATACATAAATAACAGGTGCTTTTAACTCTATACTTCTAACAACCCTGCCTACATTCAGAAATGTTATTTAGTAATTTTTTTTGTTTTTTTCAGTAGGAGTTGATAGGTTCACCTATTGTTGGTTCACACTGCTTCTGAGTCTTTTGAACAGAAGAGGTTTAGGATTGGATCTCTGGTTCCTTCTCCTAAAGTCTTCTCATTTTCTTTCACCTCCAGTAACCCCTTGCATCTTAGTGGTATTATCGTCTTGCTTGGGGTGAAATGATTAAAAAATGTTTTAATTATAAGGTGACATTGGAAAGAACTCAAGCTCTATGTAGATGTGACTGTATGGTTCAATGTAAATACTGGCATAGCTATCTCACTGAGACCCAGCCTATCTACTCCTGTTCATTTATGATGCAAGGTTTTGTAAAATTGTGTTGGAACAGCTCTGGGAGCTTTACAAATTCTATTTCTTTTTGTATGAATCTAAGCAAAATTGCCACCAAGACACTTGAAATAATTTATCAGGCTTTTTGGCAGACATTCTTTGAACACAGGTTTTTGAGCGACACACATATTTCAAGGCTGGTTGAGTGTTGGTTCAAAATGATGAACGTCTTTTGTTCTTTGAAAACATTCTCTTATTCTTCTTTCTTCATGATTCCTTTCAACCAGTCTTTAGCAACTAGAAGAATTTAGAAAACGCTATTGTAGCCATGTTGTCAACTGATGTAATTTTCAGTTGACAATATGAATACAATAGCTTTTTCTAAATTCTTCTAGTTGCTAAGGACATATTGCTTGTTGTTAATAGTTACTTTGTTTTTGCCTTGAAAAGTTCACATTGGAGAAAATGTTGCTAATAATTTTTTTTCCTATTGCCTTTTTAACTTTATATATATATATATATATATATATATATATATATATATATATATATATATGATAGGGGGGGGGCGTTCCAAGCCTTGAATGGCTACCTCCCAAGAGATGGTGTTTTGATAAAAACACTCAGTGTACTTGGACTAACATAACTGTCTGAGTTGGGTGTCAGGAATAGCATCCAGCCTAGTAAATAGGTTCACCTATCATCTGGTTCACACTCCTCCTTGGTCTTTTAAACAGGAATGGAGGTTTATCCCTTGTTCTCTAAACAGGATTGGGTTTTTGGTTCCTTTAATTCTTTTTCATTTCCTTTACCTCCTTGTGTCTTAGTGCCATTATTGCCTTGCCTAGAGTGAATTGATTAAAAAAAACAACCAAAAACAAAAACAGACTTGTCCCAAACCATTATGACGAATCCTTTATCAGACAGGACCCACTTTGCTTTGCAAGAGATTAATCCCAGTTCTGCCTTAAAAAAAAAAAAAAAAAACAAAAAACATGGCTATTTATGTATGTATGTAGGAGGCATGGTGGTGTAATGAATTGTGGCTTGGACTGAGGAATCAAACTGCTGAGTTTAAATTCCATTCGAATTCACTTACATGCTAATACCCTTGGGAAAGGTATGAATCCATCCTTCTCCTCCCAGCTATGGATAAATAGCACAACAGACTAAGTTCTATAGACTTGGATGGCAACCAGTCTAGGTGAAAGAAAACTTTGAATTCAAACCAGCTTGGAGAGGGTTGTGCTTGGGCAAGTTATCTTGCCCAAGACACACCACTTTTACTGCAGCTGCAGTACATGTGATGCACCTACGAATCTAATGAATTATGAGACTTGTGATCGTATGCATGTGCTGTAATTGCCAAGAGTATTTTTGTTGTTTTCTTTTTTTAAATCAACTCCTGTTCATCAACATCACATAAGTCATCTCATTATTCAAATTGAGCCTTTAGTTTTCACCTTTTCACTGCATTTGGATATAATAATTCTGTCATTGCCTGGAAGATATAGTAATAAAACAGTTTTTAACATCTTGGCTCTTTTGCAGTTTCTAACTGTTAAATGTTAGTTAGCCTCTTGTCTAATCAAAATGAACACTCTACATCATTAGAGTTTTTGAAGACTCTTACTGTAGTTCTGTCATTTTAGACATTTTTTTAAAAAGTATTTGGAGAAAAAAATAATTATTACTTGGATTGGTTGGGAATTAGAAAAGGATACAATGTAACCCTCATCCAAGCTTCCACTGATTGGTCAGTGATTACCCCCACATTGCATTACTGTCCTCAATCTCATTGATGCATCAAAAGTTGGGAAGGGTTTGAAAGACAAACACCATGTCAAGAAATAAGAACAGCATTTCACATATTATATATAGGTGCTTTATTCAGAGATTTACCAGTTGGCCCTTAGGTAGTGACACTTTGGAGCACTATGTCAATCTCACAGCTTTTCTCCCTACCGACTCCTTGGCCATCGACACATCCTGGCATATGGTTGGCAATATAAAAGGGTGACATCAGACAAACCAATATCTTCTGCCAACGGTGGATCAGAACTGAACCTCAAACTTCAAGCATGACTGTTAATATAGATTGGCAACTGGTTTGTTGTCACTTGGTCTCCAAAAACCCTTATTCATGTCTTCACTTCCCTGTTCCTCTTCAGTCAAAATGGATGCCACTTAGAAGACAAAACTTCAAAAGGAACCATTTGCTGGCTATCAAACAGAAACACTTGGAGATTGAGATGAAAACATATCTTGCTTTTCCACATGGTTATTTAGAGTATCACGTTTTACCAAGAACTTCAATGTTATATTCAAGTCAAAGAAAAAGAAAGCAATTTATGATATGTTGTTACAAAAGAGAAAAGAAAATACCCTATCTTATTACCTTTGTTTTCTTCTTTTTGTCAAAATTATTAGATATGGATTGCTGCTTCAGATGATCATCTTCGTATTTGCTGTTTTCTCATTCAACCTCTTTGTATAGATAGAAATTACTCATCACTGATACATTCCAATCACTTTGGTAAAGCTTACCTTTTTTATTTTCAGTCAATTGGTAATTTCTTCTCTTATTGATGAACATTTAAGACTTGCCCAAATCTTTGAGGAAGCCTTCTTTGCTCAAAGTGAAACTTGATGTTAAGAAGAACAATCCCTGTCGTCATGTTTCAGTATCAGCTGGTCTTACAAGTGGAGCAATAAACTTGACTGAGGTAGGAAAGAATCAAAATTTGTCATGTCAAAGCATGCAGAGGAAAATGTTGATGGCAGTGGTAAGACACCACACGAAGAAACAATTTAATTAATCAAGAAGAGACAAGAACTTTCATGTTGTCTTTATCATTTTTTTTTTTAAATACCTTGTAGAGACGGTACCCAGCTGGGCAATAAAAGAACGGTAACCTTCACTGGGAGATTTTGAACAACAACTATAAAAGACCATTCTATTTCCAATATTAAACAAACTAACAGAGTTACAATAAAAGTTTTGAGATGAAGAGAAGAAAACAATTATTGACTCAGGATAAGAATCAAAATAAGAAAATTATGAAGTGATGCCATTATCCTTAAACTTATCCAATTTGTTTTAATACCTATTGAAATCTTTACCTGATGAGACATGACACTATCCATAAATATCTATGAGGTCAATAAAAAGGTTGCCAACTTTATCAGATTCACTTTGAATGACACAACAACTGCTGAAAATGAGACATCCTGAAATGTCAGATGTTTCCAGGTCCATGACATATTTTAAAAAGACAGCAAGTTTGATAGAATTATCTATAGTTTACATAATCAGATGCATTATGGATTAAATAAGCAGCGAGAAAGATTAGATCTTCAGCTTTCAAATTAAATAACATTGATAAAAAGTCTTCTGAAAAAACAATTAAGAACTCGATAAAGAAAAGTCACTGAACATTAATCAAATTTTTATGCAGAGAATAACAAAGAAAAAATTAATCTACTTCTAAAACAACTACTTTTATCAGAAAAAAAAGAAAATGAATCCTAATGGGAGGATTTTGTTTAAATATAAATTTCAGAAAAACAGGTCTGACATGGATAAGGATCTACAATATTATCAGTTCTGACCTGGTAACTTGGCTTTAGTCACTTTCTCACCATTGTAATGTAGCTTTCCTGTGCCTTGTCTATAAATATTTTCATGGCATTTGTTCTGAGGAATTAGTGTCTTTGGTACGTCGACTTTATGAATTTAAGTGCAGTACTAGATTGGTGGCAAACTGTCATCATTTTACTAATGAAATGGCAAAATGTAACCATAAGTTCTATGCTAATAGTTTCATGAAACTCTCTTCCAGCTTCTTGCTTTCCAATCAACATTGATCTTCAAAGATTTAAATCGTTATCATTTTTCATCTTAATTGCTATTCATTTATTGTTTTTTCTTCTTAATATTTTTCTTTTTTCCCATATTCTTTTACACTCAGACCCCCTTGCATCTTAGTGGTTTTTATTGCCTTGATTGTTTGTTTAATCATTTCATCCCCCCAAAAAAAAACAATAATACTCTGCAAAAATATAATAAATTGAGCCAGAGTTATCCATACATGATCAAAAGAGACAAAGCCTATCCTTGAATCAGTGAATCTTATTAGTACAACAGTAAATATGGCCAGAGAAAGAAAAAAAGAAAACTGCATTTCTGAAGAGCCTTGATAGTCAATATAATAAAAAAAAAAACCTGACAGAA